TGAAGACAGTTGCAAAGGAATACAAAAGTACAAAACCGTGAAAATGAAATACGTCCCAGGACCTTGCATAAATGGTTCATGACTTGGATCTCTAAAACATGTTGCTAGTCCAAAGAAATTTTCCCTGGATTTAAATTGTTGAAGTCTAAGCCTTCTTTAAAAAATCATTGTTTCACTTTCCTAAATGATTGGTGGTAAGCTGAATTAAATGAAAATTCCCTGGAATTCCCTGAGTTTCCAGGTCAAAAATTGAAGTCCCAGAATTACCTTGATTTTCTCATGTAGTCGAAACCCTGTTGTTATTCGAAAATTAAACAATATTTTATATTTTCAAAACCGTATTTAAGAAACATTTCCATTTCCTAAATCTTTCGCTATAATCATCCCTTTTCGATTATCGGGCTTGGATTACCGTGTTATTCAAAATAACAGTGATTGATATCAATACTTTTTTTCCTTGATTTTCTTATTTTCCATGCAGAGCACCAATGCTACCGACGCCAGGGAGGCAGCTCCCACACCTGGACCCTACCTATCGACCCATCAACTCATGAACCGGGGAGCAACGGCTGTACTTCCCTTCCGAACGAAGACGTGATCAGAGATGTTATGCCTCAGAACATCCCGGCGGCGCCGACTGGGATTCAACTCAGGCCTGCTGGAGTGAGAGGTAGTCACGCTTACCACTACACCACCGGCGCCGCTAGAAATCAATACTGAGCTGCAACATATCAGTTGTAACCGTTTAGTAACAAGGTTTTAATTTGTGCATGTTGTCTTAGGAAACTGTAGTGTTTGTTCAGTGTCAGTGTTGGGTTAGTAGGATTAGTAGGATTGTTGGTAAAATTGCTGTAAATTGTAAAATGTATAAATTTGTATTAGTAGGATTAGATTTAAACTGATATTTTTATAAACTTAATTGGACGAGACAGGATCGAAAGGGTGTTGTTATCAACTGGGGTAGAAAAACTGAAAAGACGAAGGAGATGATATGGATGGGTGGTGATAAGCTACAAGGAAGGAAAATTGAGGAAATAAGGAACGTATTGAAAACTGGATGGGAAAACGAGGGCTTTCCATAACTGGGATGGTCGACCATTGCAATTGCCGAGAAGTATACCAGCGTTCGTGCGTACAAGACGTGAGTGAACCGAACAAAGTGCCTCAAAGTTCAGTGAACAACCTTCTTCTGTTCCGTTCAGGACCTTTTTTATTTGTTCCCCGAATATCCTCACGATCGGCACGTTTCGACCAAGTCAGTCTCGACTGTCTTGGTCTAAAACTCAAGGACCTTCCACTCTCCGGCTTGTAATTGCCAGAAAGGAGAGCATCCTCGGGCTCGGAAGTCCTAATCGTTAAGGAGGAAGACCCTTCTCGGCTCGACCAAGGTGGCCTTGTCACGGTCAGTTGATATTTTCCAACGAAGGGAGACGCCGTTGCCAACAAAAAAGGCTACTTCGGTAGCTGCACAGGGATCGCTACATTCCCTGGTTGCGAACAGCCATCGCAATGCTCAAACACAAGCCTCTGATCCACCATTGTGGTGACCACAGCTCCAGTCACCAGGCGCCATCTTCCAGCCCAGTTGAAGCCACCGATCCGCCATTGTCAACAGAGTGATCAAGCTACGCACCGCCATCGCGGTCAAACAACATCGGCCTCAACATAATCACCACCCGCGAGCGCTCGCCATCGTCCAGCAAACACCACCGGTACGTACCAAATAAAAAGAAACCGTTCTACACCCACAATAGCTCAATAAAACCATCCGCACCATAATACAATTTCAATAAATTTTTAGACTTTTTCCACCCACACTTTAGCTTTCAATTAATTTCACCATCGCTAGAGAAATCCCACAGTTTCTGCACACTTTGTTCTGCGTAGCCCCTTCGAATTACCCAGTAGCATGCCGGCCCTGTGACACAGTTCAGGGGTCTCATGCTACTGAGCTAGTTATCCGGGAGTCTTGGTTGAGCCACTAGGGTGAGTCTCATCTAGTCTTACAGTTCATTTTATTAGAGGTATTGTTTCTGATCTTTCACTATTTTTTGTTATATAGGGGAAATGGATGTAATGTAGATTTATATGGTTCTAAAATTCAATAAAAAAAAATTAACCAAATTGCCGGTTAACACTTTTTGCCAACTTTTAAGACATAGCTTCAGCTTATTTCATAAAAATATTACGAAAATCGCAGGGGCAGGGCTCTCCTAGAAAATCAAAGGTTTATTATTTTTTGACGTGAATTTACTGATTTTTTTCTTCCAGTGTAGATGTTCTCAAAGAACGTTTAATTACCATAAACTTCTTCTCAGCAGTCATTTTGATCAGATAAGTAATTTACCAGAAGATTTTTTGAAAAATTAAAATCCATTTTTAGATACGCCTTGAAAAATAATGTATAAATATAGGGGAAATGGATGTAATGTCGGCCTAAATGCCCCAAATTTGGGCCCATACATAAGTTCAGAAATCGACTAAATTTTCAATAGTGACCAAAAATATCCATTAGTACCGTCCCAATGACGCGTTCATCTAGATAAAATTGATAAATAGTAGATTTTTAGCGATGGACCCAATCTTAGATCCATAGGCCAACATTCCCAAGTAACAATTCAAGCTGAATTGTAAGAACAAAGGTTGATTATTGGTTGATTTAAGGTGTACGAAGCTGATTAACACCAGGCTGAATATACAGTTGATTAGTAGTGCATGAAGCGAATTGTATCCCCATAATTCAACCTCAGTAAGTTAGCTGATATAAAGACTGAACAAGACTTATTTAAGCTTAATACTACTCCACAAACCAGCAATACACTACAAATATTCTGATAGCTTGATAGAATAATATGAATTTATTGCACAATATTGTTAAATGTCGTCAGTTGCATTTCCGACATTTTAGTTATTCTAAATTCACTGCCTACCTTTCTAATCCCAAGCAGCACCAGCAGTAGAATGTTTTACTGTCACAATTTGTTGCTTATAATTCAGCATTGCTGTATAATACTCTTCCGGTTGCTATTATTCAACTTAATTTTGACGTGCTTCATGTTAATGATCATACCTTCTGCCTCAAATATGCTTATGTGGTCGAGTGGGTATAGTTGACGCCTGTGAATCAGCGACTGCCGGTTCGAATCCCGAAATGTAAAGGTAATTTTTAGACATATAATAACAATATAAATATGTAAATCCAATTAGTCAGCAACATTCTAAAGCAGTCTCATAAAAAATATAAGATATGAAGCGGTCTTCCATCATATTTTTTTTAAATAACAAATTAAGGCTGAACAAGGGTTGGAAAAGACTGATGGTTAATGCATTGAAAAGCTTATAATTTAGATTGTTGTTAAGCTTTGGGCTGATTAAAATCACCAAATTTAGATGTTTAAAAGCTGAACAAAGGTTAAAGTGGTCTATGTACAACAATTATTAAAACTAAGCCTGAATTAAAATCGTTGAAAGAACACTTGTTAAGCATCAATTTGTTACCTGAGTTTCTGTCTAACCCTTATAGACTCGAAAACTACTGAACCGATCGGCGTGAAAATTTGTATGCATGGGTTTTTGGTGCCGGGAAAGGTTCCTATGATGGTTCGAGACCCCATACAAATAAAATAGAAAAATATCGCATGATTTTTTTTTTAATCGGTGCATAAACTCAAGCTAAAATTGAATCCCGAGCAAGGGTGGGCACACTCAACTAGTCATATATTAATAAAAATGCAACATTAAAAAAAAAAAAATCAATATATAAGTAAAGTTTCATTCTAATCGGAATGGATCGAGACAAAATTTGTTCGTGCGTTTTGGGCTGGAAACGCTCTATCGTATATTTTATTCTAAATTGATTGATGAGTATTGTTTATAGATTTATTTCAGTTCTAGCAGATATTACACATTGTTGGTGCAAAATGCTTAGAAAAGTGAGGAAATCATAAAACACTGGTAACGGTAAGAAAATATATAAGAATCATGTAGTTTGCATTTTCGGAGTGATTCTGGATTTGTGCGTAAGGCTCAATCTCGAAAAAACTAACAACACAATCAGCTAGAGCAATGAATCTTTAATCATTTGGTACAGTTTGTTTACGTGATGGAGATTTTATTTGCGAAAATTCGACGATTGACGTGTTTTTTACAAATGCAATCTCTCTGGTTTAATAAAATCTCTCACATCGAGCATATTTAGTAGTGGATTTAGTCTATGAAAACGCTATATTCCAGTTTGTGGAGGTTTTTAAGCAATTCAAAGACTTAAATTACCCAAAAACCATAACATTAAATAAATACAACGTAGAATTTTCATCAATGCTGAAAGTTTATTTTAAAAGAAGAACATTTTGACGTAAGCCTCGTTTGATCAAACCCATAGTTTTGTAAAATTTCTAAAATGTTTGGTTTGGTGTTTTGTGTAATGAAATCTTTCATCTTCTTCTTTCTGCCTTTAGACGCATTCTACGTAAGCGTTTTGCCTGTTCTCAACTTAATGGTCTTTGAAACACTTCCACAGTAACTAATTGGCAGCATTCTAGGCCAACAATGCATGCACAATGTTTCTCCATGCTTAGGAAAGTAGACAAAACTTTCAGCCCGACAGATTTTCTAAACCGGCCGGGTTTAGTTATACCGGTTTTTAACAGATTAGGCTAAATGATACCCCTGAAAAATTCAAAATGTATTCATGTGTGAATCCATAGTAAACGTTTGTTATAGATTTAAAGATTGAGCTATGCATAAGCTTGGACTCGGCCTATTTCGTCACACGTGACGTCAAGCAACATTTCGTTATTGTGGCCAAGGGAATTGTTGATAACACTTTGCCAGTTCCAAAACCGATGACACGTTGTCAAATCTGTCACACACTTAAAACAAAACAAAGAACGACACCATTCACTCGCCTACCGTTCAAGGTTACGTTTACGAATTTAAAAATAAACCTTCCCCAACAAGCGGCTGTCGGTGCGTAACTCATCCCGTAGGGCCAACTTTACCTGCGTAAATAGCTTATTGTATCCGGCACTCTGGAACGACGGATATCCAATACCGAGGCTCATACGCGATTCACGATGCCCCCCGGACACGGAAGGGGCATCCGACGAGGCACGTTGAACCATGGGCCGCTCTGGCCGCCAATCTTCTTCTTGTAGATCGGATATTTTGCGGTGGGAATGCACCTCAGCCTAGGCCGTTTCCCGTTCTTCCCGTTCAGTATGGAGTAGTTTGTTCTTTTTGATTTCGTAAAAAAATATTACACTTGATTCACACTGGCCACCTTTGGGCCTCTACTTTTGCTAGAGCTGCTACTAGTGGGTTGAATTTTCAGCGCACAGCATCACACTTTACAGCTTCTCGCCGGACCGGAAATGACTGTAACTTCACACTCTAAAAACACGCTCGAGATTCGCTTACTGCTGCTGCTGATGATGCTGCCTTGCACTCTCTCTCTGCTAGGTTTTTCTCCACGCATTGATTTTCCGCATCTTGCCTCTCGCTCACTCTCACGTATTGTACTTTGCTCCACACTGGCCTATCACACTGATTTTTTTGTTGTTTTTTTTTTTTTATTTATCTTGGTAAGACACAAGGATAACCCGAAAAAATAAGTGCAGATAAGTTAAAAGCTTTCCACTACAGATACTGACACTGTGCGCTCTCGATCACTTCCTGTGTGCTTCGAGTAGAACCAATGTCCTGCATCCACATAAAGGATGAGGCAAAAACATCCAGTGAGGAAATAAAATTATTATTTTTTAATTGCCACGACATAATCTAATAGTGAATGCTTGTCGTCGTCATCGTCGTCGTTGCCGTCGTGGTCATCGTCGATGTCGCCCCCTTATTGTTGTTACTAAGAGGACATCATGCAGCATTCCTTCCCGATGGACTCCATCTGCCAACATCACTCGCCCTCACGATGATGATTGGCACCACATTCCAAGCCCTTACTCTATCTGTGATGACTACCCTTAGAAGAGTTGAACTCACCCCGGAGGCACTACACACTTCGCACACTTCAAAGTCCGCAGTTCTCCAGATTCAAGCGACGCCCGCAGAGGAGGTAGCCGAAAAGAAAGGAAAAATTTCGATTTTCATCCAACCGAGTCCACCAGACACAGAAAAAAGGAACCACTTTTGCTTCACTATTTCCACAGCTCTTCGATCCGATCGAAACGTCACGCACTATTGGAATCCATGGAAAAGATCCCACTTTCAAGCGTCGAACTCCAAATTGGGGTTTTTCATTTTCGGAAAACACTTCCCAAAAACAGAATACTGCTATGGAAAAAAAGAACTTTGCAATGACGACGACAACTGAACCGACCACCAGATATGCGAGAGAGTCCTTCCACGGTGCCACCGTCCTACTACTACTGCTGGCTGGCTGGCTGGCTGCTGCTGCTGCTGCGGTCGATTTTCGCATCCACAATCCAAAAATGTACTGTATTGTTGTACTTGTATTGTACACACCGTTCGCCGTCCCGAGTCTGGAGTTTTTCTTTCTGTCACATTTGCTCCAACTCGATTTCCCTTCCCAGTACGCAGCCAAACGTGAGTGTATGGGTGTGTTTGAACGGATGGGCCATGGGTGGTGTTGGTGCGAGACAAGACCATGTAGGGAAAGTGTGAGTAGACTGAAAGAAGGGAAAATTGGAAACTATTTCACTGTTTTCCTTGCACCAATACATATTTGGGCGATATGTGGCACTGAGGTGGAACCAATACTAGCGGTACAGGAGCATGGTGAAAGTATTGGGATATGCGATTTGCAAAGCAATGATGGTTACCCGTGGAAGGAATCCAATAAAAATACCCCGTAACGTGGTTAGATCACCTTTTCGTGGTACGTTACGGGATGTAAGATCTACCACCGATTCCTAGTCCTCACTACTTCAAACTAGCGGAACAGGATTGTTGAATGTTGATAGTGATAAGTTCACGGGCTGCGATCAACCGGGGATGATCTTGAAACAAGGAAAAAATGAGCTAGTTAGTCATCATCTATGTGATTCATAATCTTCTATTCGTTGTTCCCTAGGTTGAAGTGGTTAAGACTAGGGTTCTGATGCATGGTCATTATCGGTGTCATTCCTTAATTTTGTTGCTAAGGATTAAAGTAGGCCGCGCTGCAAAAATGACGTGTTTTTGTTTTGTTGCATCGTTTTCGTTCTAGTGAAAATGTTATAAATTAAATTTACAATTTCATTTTTAAAAAGTGTTAATTTGAAAGTACAGAAGTGATGTTGAAAAGTGAATTAGGTGAAAATTTTCAAGTTCTTATCCGTTGCATGTGGTGCCGACTGTTCTAACCTACGCGTAGTTACAATCAGCTAAGTTTATTTACCTTTTCATTCCTCGATAGGAAATATCCATCTAATTCAAGAAGATCATTCCAAAACTTACTAAATACGCGTCAATCAAGTATTGCACTACTGCTTGATTGAAAGTTTCAGTACATTTTGTATTGGAGCGTTCTTGAAATGGGCTATTGTAGCTGCGGTATAGCTGTCACCTTCTAACTCCCGGGTTCAAGCTTCTTGCATTCATAAGAAATGATTGCAGGCAGATTTTATCCATAATGCCACTGCCAGACAGTGGGAGTTAGGCGAAGGGCGAATCTTCATTCTAATCAACGATTCGACATACTATTAATAACCTTTTACACATGAGAACCTCCTATCGATCAGAATAAATTGTGCATATATTTAGGATCAACAAACATTTTCAGGCGCAAAGGAGCAACAGGATCGAGCTGATAACGTTTCTTAATTCCAAAATCTGAAGACTGTTTTGAATAACATGTTTAGGTAATGGGCAGCAACAACGGACAGATAAACTACTTACAGCTGTTATTTATCAAATGCTTGATATAACGATTGCCAGCAACGCCAGCTGGGCGTATCCTATGGCTTACCCTCCCTACTAGCAAAAATCCACCCTTCCCGTGACACTTATGAGGGGTCGTAGAGTTCTCTGCATCTCTCTTAAGTAAGTGTCGGACTAACATTCCTCCCCTTTCCCCACCAGATGCAAGGACGTGGCCAGGACAGTTCTGGTCTGTTTGAGGGAGACACATCCTTTATCCAAGAATACTACCTCTTAATCACAAATTACTATCTAACAGCAACGGATGAAGGTGGGTCTCCTTTTTAACAACAGTTTGGAGCTCGTACCACCTACGAAATTGTGCAACCTGGTTTATGCTATGCTATGCATTCCTTAATTTTGTTGCTAAGCAATCCAATTTTGACTGACAAAGGGGCACGCCTTTGGAGGGTGTTTCAACACTCTGAATGGTATACATAGCGGGACCTTTCAATTAGAGTTGGATCCTTGCAAGAATGACAACTGTAAACAAATCGAATACTTCTTCATCATTTCTCAATAGTGATGGAGTAACACGACATGCACTAAACTAAGGACACGGGATATACTACACACGTAGAAATACCCAATCTTACACGTGACGGAATCCATCTTTGACACAAAGGATGGACGTAATCAAACATATCATGTAAAATTAAGTGCTTCGAGATTGCAAAGTTCGAAAGTACGTTTGATTGAGTTGAATTTCTCGTCTATTATGACTCAAATTTATGTGAAAATTGACGCCCGTATATGTCAGTCTCAGAGCACCTAAATTTACATCAATTGTTCTAAGTGTGTACAATAGAAATTACTGGTTGCAGTGGTGTTTGGTCCCGAACAGAGGAAAAAAATCCAACTAAAATACATAGAAATTCACTATTGTTGTATTGCGTATTAATTTACAAACTGGACAAAAAATGAATTTGAACTTATCAAAAAAGTGTGATGAAAGTGCGAGTCGGTGCAATTATTCCTTACGAAGCAAGAATTATGTGATCCGAAGTAGTGATGCGCTGAATAGTGCTATTCGGCCAGGTAATCGGCGTTTACACCAAAACGTTATCTGATATTCGACCATTTCTCAGCCAACAAGTGACTAAGACAAGGTGATTGAAAGAAATTTCGAGAGCCAATGCTTAATATTCGGTCTAATACTTTATTAATATGAATATTCGGTGCATCACTAATCCGAAAAAAACAACACAATTGTTTCGCACTAAGAGCCGAAAAGTACTACTTGTCGACATTCTTTTGAGTAACCTTACGGTCTATTTTACAATTTTTTCTTAATTTGTTTTCCGTACTAAGCACCAATGCTACCAACGCCAGGGAGGCAGCTCCCACACCTGGACTCTACCTATCGACCCATTAACTCATGAACCGGGGACCAACGGCTATATTTCCCGGTGATCAGAGGTGTTATGCCTCAGAACATCCCGGCGGCGCCGACTCAGATTGATCCAAGGCCTTTTCGAGTGAGAGGTAATCACGCTTACCACTACACCGCCTAACATACATAACTAAAATTTCAGTTCGAAAAGTGTTACTTTTCTTATGAGTGTAAAAAATGTTGTATGCAACTCGTTACGAAATTTGATTAAGGGTGATACGGTCAAAATTTGGTCAATATCAACTTGACGTATTTCTTTCAATTTTGCATTTAAAAAACCTGAACACCCCTCATTTTGAAGGTGTGTGTGTGTAGAATGTTGCTCCTATTTTGATTTTGGAATTCACTCTTCAGTTGTCAAAATGCCGTCCAAGCAAGAAGAGCAGCGTATCAAAATTTTGCTCGCGCATCGCGAAAATCCGAGCTACTCGCACGCAAAGTTGGCAAAATCGCTAAAAGTTGCCAAATCAACCGTTACAAATGTAATTAAAGTGTTTGGGGAACGTTTGTCGACAGCCAGGAAGTCTGGATCGGGGGGAAATCGAAAACCGGAAGCCGCTGAGACGACAAAGAGAGTTGCCGGTAGTTTCAAGCGAAACCCTAACCTCTCTCTCCGAGATGCCGCAAATAAGCTGGGTGTATCGTCTACAACCGTGCATCGAGCCAAAAAACGAGCCGGACTATCGACTTACAAGAAGGTAGTGACTCCAAATCGCGATGATAAACAAAATACGACGGCCAAAGCGCGATCCCGGAGGCTGTACACGACGATGCTGACGAAGTTTGACTGCGTGGTAATGGACGACGAAACCTACGTCAAAGCCGACTACAAGCAGCTTCCGGGACAGGAGTTTTATACGGCAAAAGGAAGGGGAAAGGTAGCAGATGTTTTCAAGCACATGAAACTGTCAAAGTTCGCAAAGAAATATCTGGTTTGGCAAGCCATCTGTACCTGTGGCTTAAAAAGCAGCATTTTCATAGCTTCCGGGACTGTCAACCAAGAAATTTACGTGAAAGAGTGTTTGAATAAACGTCTGCTGCCTTTCCTGAAGAAACACGCTTGTTCCGTACTGTTTTGGCCGGATTTGGCATCTTGCCATTACAGTAAAAAAGCCATGGAGTGGTACGTGCAGGTGGTTCCCAAGGACAAGAACCCTCCCAACACGCCAGAGCTCCGCCCAATTGAGAAATACTGGGCTATTGTCAAGCAGAACCTAAAGAAGACCAAAAAAACTGCTAAGGGCGAGCAGCAGTTCAAGGCAAACTGGCTTTCTGCGGCGAAGAAGGTGGACAAGGTGGCTGTACAAAATCTGATGGCAGGGGTCAAGCGTAAGGCCCGGCAATTCGGAGTTGGAAAAGCGGAATCCTAACTGAATATTTTTCCTGAATTTTATACTAATTGAACTTGAAAAAGAAATTTAATTTGATTTTTTAAATAAACGATTTCACCGATTTACACGCGTTTTCCCTTGACCAAATTTTGACCGATCACCCTTTATTGTTTATTGTTTATTTTTTATTGTTCATTGAAAAATTCAACTGACAAATACTGTCTAAATGAATAAAACTTAAACTAAATAGTTACGGTCAACGGTACGGAAAAGGCCAAGTAGCCGATGACGAAACACGTCAGCTGATACATTGAAGTCGAACATATAAAAAAAGTTGTTGAATTGCCGGCTGATTGCTCGAATTGGCCCGTATTGTGTATAATTTCGGCGCCGTAGTTCCAAAAACAGAAAGTCGCGTTGACGAAGAGACCTCTCAGGGGCATACATATTTAGCTGTGACAGCAGTGTTGGGCAGTCAATGTCACCTGTAAGCAGCTTTCCAGCGAACATAGCTTGAGCGACCGTCTGTCTCACCTCTAATGGCTCGATTCCCAGGAGACGGCAACGCTCCTCGTACGGTGGCAAGTTCGTTGGGTCACGCCAGTTGAGGAAACGAAGAGCATATCTCACAAACTTGCGTTGAACGGATTCAATTCTAGTGATCCAGCTAGCATGGAAAGGGCACCAAACAACTGAACTTGACTCCAATAAGGATCGCACAAGCGAGCAGTAAAGTG